GCGCCGGGCGCGCCACGGGCACGGCCGGGTTTGTCGCCGCGGCGCGCGGCGCCGGACCGGCGGGGCCGGGGGCGGGACGCGCCGGAGGCTCGGGCGGGGGCTCCTCGCCGCCGAACCACATCCTAGCCAGGAAGAGGCGAGACATGAAGTCAACTGGAAGTCTGTAGAGGCGCTGATCCACATCAAGCACCGTCTGTGTTTCCCAAGCGAGTCTCGACCTAAATTCAAAAAGAACAAAAAGAAAAAAACGTCCAAAAACATCACTCATATCCCCAGACACTCCATGGGACTGCCATATATGCCAATCAATTGACCCCCCAAACCACCCCAACTGATCGGCATCTATGGAATCTATGGCAGTCCCATGGGTCGTGTCTGGATGTGTCTGGGATCTATATGTCATGATATGAGCTGTCACTTCCTATCGCGTTCGAGAACGTGCTCCTGTTCAAGTGCTCCCGGAGCTTGCGGCACCCCCAAGGGTCGACCTCATAGTCCAAGGGCGCCTCGGTTTGGCATGAGGGGTCCTCCCTCTAGGGGGGGGGACCATGAAACGTTTTATAAGACACGAGGACCCCCCTCATTTGATCGAGGAAATGGCCACGGGTATGATCGGTCCATCTGGGGACCACATGGCAGGTAGGCCAGACCTAGCACGACCAAGTGCTGAGTCGAGATGCGCCCGATTGCTGATGGTACCACCACTCCAGATCCTGTGCTGGGAGAGGAAGAGAGATAGATACACCTTTGCCTTCCAGTCGGGCTTTGTGAATCCCAACATGGGCGCCATCAATCACTTCAGAAGTTCTCTCCGACGAACTGACTAGTGACTAGTGTCTTCTGGAAATCTGCCGACTGTCGGAATCGAGAGCCTTAAGGCAGCCCCCACGGACCCGACTCTCCTTCTTTCAGAAGCTCTTGGCGTGAGCCACACATACGGTAAGGCGGCCACTGCCCAGTCGACGGACTCCCATTCGGGTCCAGCCCACCCAGCCGCACCGCCACAACGCCGACCCGCACGCCGTCGACGCCGTCGACGCCGTCTCCTCCGTCTCCGCCAGCTCCGTCCCATAGAGCATGTTGTGCCGCTGGAGCCAGTCCAGCGAGCCCAGCCAACCTGACCGCGTCCGAGCCACGCGCCGCGCCCGAAGCGCGGCGCCCCCGGAAACGGTGCTGGAGCCAGTCCAAAATCCGTTGCAACGCCCTGCCGAAAAACCTATCACATCCTATCACCTAAAAACCTTGCCTTCACCTGCCCCTCCAAAGCCCCGCCCACACCATGTGATCCTCTTGACGAGCCAACCTGACGGAGGGAACATCTTCCCAGCTGACCGGTCGCCGCCCGACGAACCCAGGCAGCGGGCGGCCTAGATCTCGCTTGCAGTCGACGATGAAGACCTCCAGGTTCCGCGTTCCGCGCGTCCGGGCGAAACGAAGGAACGGTCCCACCGGCGCGGCGCGGCGTTTGGGGGGCCAGGTCGTCGATGGAAGGAGGGAATGGAGGGAAGAACAAGTTGGAAGAGCTCCAAGTTCAACCAGTTCTGATCCCTGTTTTGTGATGCACGGGGCAGCATGCCATTGTCACACATTGACCACCATTTCATGCATATGCTTGATAAAACCGACAAGGAGGGTACACTCTCGAGTGACTCCCTTAGTTTCAGAAGTACTCCTTTGTACGACACCCAACGCTTGCATGTCAGACTCAATCTCGTTGATTCCCGTTGTAATCCCTACTGCCTGGAACCCCAAACAACTAGAAACCAATGGTTGTTCCAATATGGCAATTGAAATCCTTTACATAGGAAATGGTTGTTTGGGGAAACATCCATTTCTTTCTGGTTGGGACTGGGGTTCCAGGTAGATCAGGGTTTCTGATCCTCAAACTGATCATGGGAGGTGGCATGGCTCCGTCTTCAAGACGGTAGAATGGCTCCCACGGTCTGTCTGTCCAAAAGAACATTCCTGTTTGACCACCGACACCGAACACCTGGCTGGTGCGGTCCCACATCATCGCTGCGACAGGTTCGGACACATCGATCCACGTCCTCGACCTTCCCCGAGGGCGCTGATGTCGCATCGCAAGCGTCGAACCCCAAGTGCGGGAGAACCCAGCGCGCCAATGCCCCCACCAACGACATGGGAGATGACAACCAGGCCGCAGATCTGAAAATCCGCTCTGCGGTCTGTGTTGTTATTACTTCCGCGCATTCTTTTACCCTGACCACTGACAACGGAATCAAAGATTCCCCCACGCAACACACCCACCAAGGCCACCGGGTCCCCGCGCACGGCGCCAGCGGCTGATCTTCCAAGCGCGCTGGATGCGGCTGGCCGCCCAGTGCTGCGGCGCCAGGCGCTTCACTGGAGGTGGCAGGGCCTCCAAGGAGCTTCTGCACCATGCTGGACATCGAAAGTTGTTGAAAGTTGTTGCCCTCTGCACGACAGCACCAATGCCTTGTTGGAATTCTACGTGTCATTAATGGCTGCAATCTCTCGCCATGATCTAAAACCGGACCCTCCTGCAACGAAAAGCGGACAACTGCACTGCACCCTATAGAAGTGTCCAGTTCGACGACTTGGGGCCACCTGCCCCCCCTTTTTTCTCGGATCATCCGAAAGCGGACCGGACCGGACCGTCCGACTGGGCGAAAACGGTCCTCCGCCTCCTCCGGTCGAACTTCCGGCCGAGAGCTCTTCCTGCCAACTGGGAGGAGGCGAAAATCGAGGAAAGTGGTAACAATGTTCGCTAGTAGTAACAAGAGAGGAAAGAGAAGCCCAAAGGATCGTGAAAAGACGAGGATGGATGCTTCAAACAGCTCTGCTAAGTATGGTGGTGCCAGGGGAGTGAGGAAAACTAAAAGGATTGCCATCTTGCAGGTAAAGGAGGGTGTTGAGCCCAAGCCCCTCAACCAATGATCCACATGTTCGGAGGAAATCTTTACAACCCGCTCACCACGGTGTTGTGCACATGTGAGTCACGGTGAAGTCTAAGACGCCCTCGACCGCCCTCTCGGTGCCTCTTCTTCCAGGCCCTCTGTATCCTCCGAAGGCGGCGTTGGGTCGGATTCAACAAGAACCCCTATTGGGCCTTGACCCCCCCCTGGATTCACCAGGTGGCCGGTCGTTTCGGTCGCGTGCGGGGGGGGGTCATTGAGAGAAATCTGGCCGAGAACCAGACCAGGACCAAAAGAGTGAGTAGGGGAAAGGTTCTTGTTGATACGAATTCATGACCAGCACCTTCTGTTCGGCGTCACCGGGCTGGTTTCGCCCCCAGCCACTAAGCAGACAGGAAACCCCTTGTAGGTCCAGGTCATGTTCTTTTTGATAGGTATCCCTCCATAGAGGGCCAACCCTCCGCATGGCGTCACGGCGGCGAAGCCCGCCTCGCCGCCGCCGCTCCGGCGCGGACGCCCCGACCTCGGATCCGGCGAGGAGGACCAAGGGAGTGAGGCTTCAAAGCTTCCAAAGCTTCCAAAGCTTTGGTGGTTAGGTGTTGATCTTACTTCCCTAGGGAAAAAAAAACAAAGCTTTGGTGGTTCCCCTGGCATTTCAGGTGTTGATCTTACTTCCCTAGGAAGTGATTTTGGATGATGTCCGATTTTGCCTTTATGTTGGGGTGTCCAGGGTATCTCCTGGTTGTGTGCGGTGCACATCAACCTGAGCCCTAAGATGCCCTAAGGGTTCAGCTCAACAGCATTCGGTCAGGATTGTGTCATAGACCCAAGCATCGAAAAAGAGACCATGAACCTGTTTCGACCAACCGGATCAACTTGGCGATCCGGAATCGACAAAACGTCCGGTCCAGTGGTGGTGTTTTGCTCTTGAGCAGGTTCTGGCCAACATCAATCCTTGATTGACCCTCTCCCGCACCAGGTTGCTGTACCTCCACATCATACCTGAATATATGTGCAATGGAAGTTCGAAGGTTTGGGAGTAGAAATGTTCTACAGTTGGTGAAAGAATTCTTAAGCGACACAGCAGTGCAAAAATCAAATCCCTTTGGCCTTCTGCAGGGCAAGCATAAGTTGATAAATGTCTTCAGAGCAAGCATTGGAACCATCTGCCCTGACAAAAATAATTACACCAGCATCGACCCCAAACAGCAGCGGCAGTCGGAGGAGATAACGGGAGTCAAAGAGAGACGAAGGGCGACAAAGCAAAATCATCTCACCCCAGCATCCAAACACGCCATGGGAGACAAAGGCAGACAAGGGGAGACAAAGCAAAGTC